TTGGGCGCAAATCCCAGCTCACTCATGCTCCAGATTAAACCCTGGGCAGGAGGCTGTCTCCAGCCTCAGTTTCCTGCAGTGTGGAAGGGGAATAACGGTAGAATCTGCCTGGAGGGTTCTTGGGGGAATCAAATGACTCGAGATGCAGACAGCTCTCATGTCACTGCCTGGCACGTAGCGAAAGCCAGCCTTGGCTGCAGTGGCCCATGCTGCCTCTCCCTTCCTCCAGGGTGCCCCCCGCCCCCCGCTGGGGGGCAAGGATGTGGGCCCTCCAAGCCTGGCCCTGGGGCGAGAAGTAGCCCTCATCTGTCTTTCTTTTTCTTGGCAGGAGGGGTGGCAGTTCAAATTCAACTTCAGTCTTATCCTTTGTAGCATTCTACACAATAAATCATAACATTTAGACGTCAGGTGACTGGATTTTGGTGGGAAAGGCTTACAGTTTGGGCCTGCGTGGACGGTCTGTACTAGACCTTTAGGCCTGTTACCACCCTCCTGCGCACCCCCCTACCCCCAGCTCTTGGGCATCTTTTACTTGGGTATGATTTCAGACCGGCAGAAAAAATGACAACGATGATACGAGAACTACCGTACACCCAGATTCACAGATTGTTAACTCTCTCTGCACCCCGCCCCCTGCACACACACGCGCACGCACACACACACACACACGCGCACAATTTTTCTTCTGAACCATTTCAGGGTAAATTGCAGACATTGCCCTTTTATCCCTAAACGTTCTGCGTGTGTTTCCTAAGAACAAGGACATTCTCTTACATAACCACAGTGTAATGATCAAATGCTGGAAATTTAGCATTGCTACAATTGTACTATCTAGTCCACAGGCCATGCACAGTTTCATCAGTTGCTCCAATAACAGTCCTTTAGGACTGTTTTTTTCTGATTCCAGGTCAGCACTGTGCTTAGTGGCCATGTCTCTTTAGCTTCCTTTTATCCTAGAGCAGTTCCTTGGCTGTTTCTGACCTTGACATTTTGGAAGAGTCCAGGCCAGTCGCTTTGTAGAATGCCCCTCAGCTGGGGTCAGGGCCTTCATCCTTGAAAGCTCATACTGTACCCCTTGCTTTGCTACGTGTGCCCCTGTAATCCTTGCTGGTGCCACGTGGCTGGTCCATCTTTTGTAGATGAGGAAACTGAGGCATAGGGAGGCCAAGTGACTGGTCCCTGGTCACATTCCCAGGAAGTGGCAGAGGTGGGATTCAAATCCAGGACTGTCAGTCTGCCTGCTAGGCAACAGGAATAATGACAGCGATTAGACACTGAGAATAACAGAAGTGTTAAGCATTTACCCTGAGCCACACATCGCGTTGTACTTTCTACGTACATTGCTGTGGTCCCCACCCCAGTCTCGGAAAGTAGCTACTCTCACCAGCCCCGATTTACAGATGATGATCAGAGAGGTTAAGTAGACTGCCCAGGGTGCACGGGTGCTGACTGGTGGGAACTAGCTCTGACCCAGGCAGCCTGTGTTCTGAGTCTGCACGCGTTGCCTCTGCGCTCTGGCCTGCTGGATCTCATAGAACCCGGGGCAAGCGTGTGAGCCAGGCTGGGGCCTTCACCAGCTTTGCCCCTCCAGGAGAGGCACAGCAGTACCTGTGTTTATGTCCTTTTCCGGGGCCTTCTCCAGGGGGAACGAACACATCCCAAGGCCAGGGCCTACTCTCGGGGGCTTCCTGGGGGAAGCTGTCCTGTCCTCTGTTCCTGTAGGCACTGCAGCCCACCACTATGGTCCGTTTGCTGTGAACGGGTGGCATTTTGATGATTTCCAGGTCAGGAGTCCCCGTGCGGTCGCTTATTTCATGGCTGGCTCACTCTTTCCTGCCAAGCAGCCCGGGGCCCTGTATGGGGTGGCTGGTCCTGGCTGCCATCAGTGTGCCCAGGTGGCCCTGCTGCCCAGGCGGCATCCATGTGGCGTCTGGGCCGGCTGCCCAGTGACACGGTGGCCTTGCTCACAGCAGAGCTGGCGATTAATCACTGGTGCTGTATGTCACGCTCTGTGCCCCTTACCTTCTCGTTGGAGAAAGGAAGATGGTACAGCCCGTTTTTTCAGGTGGTAGAAAGGAGTAGATGCTCTGGAACTGGGACACGCTTGAAATGCTATAGGCAGAGCAAGGAAGGTCCCGGCCAGGGGGCTGGTGTCTGGGCCCCCATCCGCCTCTCGCTTCCCTGGGACCTGCCCATCGTGGGCACTCAGGCTCCCCGTTCATCAGAGCACAGTGCTGGGCCCCAGCAGTGATCTCCCTCCGTCCCGGGAGACGTCAGGGAAGTATTGTCAGCATCCCTATGAAAGCCCGTGGCCCCCTTGGTTCAGATTCAAGTGTAGAGTATCTCCGAGAGCCACAGAGCAGGTGGAAGTCTGTCCTTTGGACAGCGTGTCAGGCAGGAAGGTCTAGGAGCAGCAGCCCCTTCTCCCTTCAGGCCCAGGCCCCGGGCACATGCTACCTGCTGGGCGTTGTCCTGCCGCCCCGCTTCCTCTTCTGCTGCACTTGCCAGATTCCTGGGAGGAGCAGCCGTGCGCGTCCTGTCACCCTGTGCCCGGTCAGTCTCCCTTCTCCCTGGCTTGTCTCTCTGCGTGACCGCACGGCCTGTCAGGCTCCATGTGTTGAGGCAGGGCTGTGACCTTCCCACTCGCACCCTGGCCAGCCCAGGCCGCCCTCCCCTCCCCGTGCTCTGGCCTCGCGCCTCTCTCTGGCTGGGCCGACCCCTGGGAGAAAGTTAGAAATTTTAGCTCCCTAATTTCCATGGAACATTGCTCCGTGCATATGGTTTAAAACATTAATTAAAAACATTAATCAGTCTGGCTGCCTTGGAGAGAGGCTCTTTTTCTGTAGGAGCTGACCTTCTGGTTCCTGTAGGCTCCTTACAAGGAGAAGGGGTGTAGGGATGAGCCTGCACACCAGTTCATACCTGTGACCTGACCTCTGGGGTCCTGGTAGGTGCTCACTGAGGCCGGGAGGATATTACATTTCCCTAGTACTCAGAGTTTACAGAGCCGCTCTTGTGTGCACTATCTCACTTAATCCTGGCAGCACATCTGGGAGATGGGGTAAGTGTCATAATCCATTCCATTTCACAGATGAATAAACTGAGACGTGAGAGCCACAGCCAGGCCTGGAGCTGAGTAGCTGTGACGCAGACCTCAGCTTTTAGTGCTGTTTGCGTTGGCTTCGCTGGTTCCCTTAGCCCCCCGTGTACTGAGGCCTCGCACTGAACAAGTCATGGTGGTGAGACAGGAAGAGGGGAGACCTTGTTTTCCCCCCCTTATTGGGAGGAGACGAAGAATTTAGGGCCCGGGCATTTACTTAAGTGCGGTACTAATGACAGCTGACGTTTCTAAGTGTTCGTAAGGCGCCAGGCCAAGAGCTAAGCTCTGCGGAGATTCTCACCTCACACTAAGAACAAACCTTTAAGATGAGAAACTGAGGCTCAGAGAGCTGAAGTCGCTCGCGCAGGCTCCTCAAAGGACCTTTTCAGTCGCAGAACTGGGATGCCAAGCCAGGCACTCTGACAAGAGCCTATAGTCAACCAGGAAGCTGGGCTGCTGCCTTTTTTGGGTAATGAAGCGAATGCATTTCGACAATGAGGCAAAAAGTGCTTTCCTGGTCAAAATGTCTGAGAAGCGTGGGAGGCTGCCCACAGAGGGAGCGTGGATGTGCTGAGGGTGGCATCTTTCTCAGCGCATGGCTAGTCCAGGGGGCTTCTCTGAGGGAGGGGGGATTTGCCCTCTCCTGCTGGGAACTGGGACTCGGATGGATTAAACCAGCGCTTGATGGGAGCAGACAGGAACTCTCTGGGGCTTGCAGAGCTCTTGTAGGTCGGTCCGTGATGCTAAGGCATCCCAGGGAGGAATGTGACAATCAGAAGTCTTCAGAGAGGCGAACCGGGGCCAAGTTTTTTTTTCCTGGAGGAGAGAGAGGGAATTGATGGCGGGGAATCCGAACTGTCTGGCTTCCTCTCTCTCAGCTGAGCGAGCAGCCTGTGTGCTGCTCTGCTTCTTCCCAGACTTGAGGGCAAATTCCCCTTCAGAACTTGTCAGCCTTCTGTCTCCCGAGTCTGTGCTCACTGAGCCTCATCTCCTTGACGATCTGGCAGCCACGATGCTGGGAGATTTTGCGGGGAGTGGGGGGGGGGGCAGGAGGGAGGTCTGGAAGGGGAAAGGATCACCCCATTGTAAATGTGACAGTGTGGCTTTCTGTGGGTGCTGCACCGCCCCTTGAAGGAGAGGAGAGGGTCCGAGTCTGCGCCCACCCAGCTGAGCTTTCAGCCCTGCTTCCGGGGATTTTAGGAGGTCCTCCCAGAGCTGGTAAACCAGGGGCGGCCCCCGGGTCCCATTCCCCACACTCCACCCTTTTGGCCTCTCCATGTAAGCCATCTCCATTAGCAGTTAGGATAAGAATCTCTGGCGAGACTACGTTTTTGGTTTCCTGAGTAACGCATGGTGTCCACTGATCCCATGTTACTACATGACAGTGTTGAGGGCAGATGAAGCTTACAACCAAGTGACTCTGATGCAGCTCCCATGATTCACGTACTCCCCACCGTCCCTAGAATGGGTTGGGCTTCCAGGGACTGGCCATTCTCAGAATTAAGTTGTTGGGTATGTTTCTCCTTCCCCTCTACCCAGAATTCCTGGAATCAGATGAATGAAAAAGCTTTAGCGGGGAAGGAAGGGGACCATGATTGATGGAGGGGGGGCTTGGGAGTCAGGAACACCTGACCCTCTGTGGCCTGGCTGCTTATGTGACTTCTGAAATACGTGGCTGCCAAGACCGATCTCGTAGGGTCAAGTGGCTTCATGTGGTCAAATGTCCAACACAGTGCTTGGCACATAATAGCTACTCAATAAATGCCTGCTCTTCAGATGCTTCTCATTTAGCATAGAGTAAATATGCACTTCTTATTTTTTAAATGAATGAAATCTCTCATTACCAAATTCATTCATGTGAGCAGTGACACTAATATTCCCTTTTCTTGTATGTTTCTAGCATCCTGCTCCACCTGGGATTTAGGTGCCTTTAATCTGACAAAAAAAGAATACGTATCCATTCAGTACTCCAGAGGGACTTGAAAACTGTTCTTCCCTGAACTCAAGCTGGACTATCATGGGATGTGAAGAATCAAGGTAAGGGATTTTCTCCTCTTGAGCCTTATGGAACCAAAGATGGCTGTTGGAATTGGTGATCTCGCGCAACACAGCTTGGGGTGTGGTTTTCGACTGCTCGGCCCAGCTTCCTGTGCTTGGGAAGCTGGCTTTCCATAACCCTGATACACAGGACCCGGTTCTCAGTGCCTGGACCTTGTGCCGGGGGGGCGATCCCTCTGTCCCCAGCTGAGGAAGGAGTCCACCATCTCCTAGGTGAATGCCCCACACTTTCCCCCCCGGCAGAAGGTGGGGATGGTCCAGCCGTCCTGCTGAGGTGCGTGGAGCCCACGCTGGGGAGAGGATGGCTGAGTTTGCTGGGATTACGTGATCAGGTCAGCAGGCCTTCGGGGGCATCCAGGAGTGACCTCTTCCTCTCTCCCTGCCTGCTTGCACTGCGCGCGCCAGCTGCCACGTCTCAGGCTGCTTGGGGTAAAGGGTGAGAGGTTAAAACAGACGGCTTTAGGCAAACCCCGGTTTTCCTGGTTTTGCTACTTGCCTCGGCCTCTCCCCAGGCCTCAGTTTCCTCGTTTGTAAAATTGGGGTCCTATGAGTGCCCCAGGAGGATGTTATGGGTCCTGAGTGAGACGGTGGAGATAAAGAGTTTACCATTCTGCCTGGTGGTGGGAATGCTCCCAAATGGAAGAGGGTTTTGTTTGTTTGTTTGTTTTCAATGCATTAGTTACACCATTTAGAGGTCCTGCCATGCAGCAGGCCCTTTCCCCGTCCTTGCTCTGCTGTTCTCTCTGCCTCTCACCTGCCACCAAGTCTGCCTGGGAAACGGCTTGTGAATCACCTTCGGTCGTGCACAGCCCCCTCCACCTGAGCAGAGTTGATTCCTCCCCACCCTGGGCTGTAGCCGGCCGTTGAAGGCATGGCTTTATGTGCCATGTGACTTCTCCTGCCCTCCCCTGCCCGTCCCCCTACTCGTCCCCCCCGCCCCCGGTCACTGGTGAGTTTATTTAGAGCAAGGACTCTTAACACCCCAGCGTTGGGCCTCCCACTGTGGACATTGAAAGAACAAATGAATGAGTCATTGAAAAAGAGGGCATAGAGAGAAAAAGCCAGAGTGGGAACCAAAGGGAGAAGGTTGCTGAAGATTTAGAGCAAAGAGTGAGGTCGGTCACGTTTTCTTTTTCTTCAGCAAGGTGTTGAGATGATAAGTAACATGATGGAAAAAGGAAAAATGAGTCCTACCACACACTGGAAAGCTCTTCGAGGGTGGAAACTTGGGTGAGAAAGTGTGAGCTGGTGAGAAGCCAGTTAGGGAGGTAGGACTGAGGACGCGGCCGAGGCTCGTGCTGATGTGCTCCTGCCCGTGCTGACGTGACCCACAGAGACGGAGGGCACGAGGCCTTGCCCTTCGGTCAACGTGGCGGCCGGCCCTGACACATAGAGGGTTCTCCAGATTCACCAGGCATCTGGGAGGCCTGGGGAGGGTCCCTCGTCCATTCCGAGAGGCTTCCGGGAGAGGGTGCTGCCCCTTGAGACTCTTGGAAGATGGCGCATGAAGAAGACCTACCAGGAGCTGAGCTGACGAGCCTTTCCGTCCTCGGGCGCTCAGCAGCCCTGCACGCTCACGTTCGCCATTCGCTTTTATTTCACCATCTACTTACTTGCTGATTCTGGTGTCAGGAGGCAGCCGCAGTGAGCGCAGCTCTCAGGCCATCCTGTGAAAGTGCTGCATGCCTTTCTTGGGCCCTCGAGCACTCAACCAGTCCTTGAGTTTTGTTTCAGAAGCCCACGCTCCCGGTCCAGGCCATGAGCTTGGGGCGCAGGAGTGTGTACGTGGACGTGCAGTCACCTGTTCTGGCATTCCCTCCCTCCCGGTAGCACCTGCGGGGCTGGAGCGAGCTGTTCCCGCGTCCGGGAAAACGGCAGATAGCAGTCCAGTCACTGGGGTGGAGAATCTGAAAGCTGGAAGAACCGTTCTGTTGATGGAGGAAAGGCTTGGCAGGTCTGTCTGGGGCTACTGGGAGAGGAAGTTCCCTAGAATTCAGCTGCTGGGAGCAGACAGAGCAGGAGTAGACGCTCTCCCACTGCTCTCCCACTGGGAGCCTGTCTGCCCTCATCCTGCCTAGAAATCAGCTCACCTGGGCTGCACGCCAACAGCAGGCCTCCACACCCTTCCCATCCCTGGGACTGTTTGCACTGTTCCTGCCGTAACCGGGACTTCACCCCAGTTGCACTTCCCTCTACCCCCTGTGACCCTGGGCAAGTCCTTTATAGCTCTCCACGCCTCTTTTTCTCAGCTGCAGAACCTGGCCTGAGGAGATGCTCAGCGAGAGGGAGCCCTTGTAATCTGCTTCTCTCCCACCTCCTTACCTGTCTGGCTCCTGACTGTGTTAATTCTGTCGCATCCCGGCCCCTCCTCGCACCTGCGCGCAGCGTTGCCTTCTTCCCTTTGACGCTCACCTTGCCTTTTTGGACTCCTCTCCTGGGCCCGCCTCCCTCTGGGAGCATCTCTTGGGTCCTGCCTGATACTCCCAAGCCAGCCCTCTCTAGCCTTTGATGAGAGGGTGTCTGAAGGCACCTGCCTGCCTGTCCTCAGACACGAGCCAGCCCTGGTCTTTGGTCACGGGCTACGTGTGTCAAGGTTGCTTCCTTTATTCAGTGTCCGGAGTGTTTGCTGAAAGAATTCCCGACCCACTCGGAACTCTACCCTTGAAACAGAAACGGATTCTCAAAACACCTCTGCTACTGGCCCATTTTACTATTACTGTTTCTTGTGGTTTCATATTGAGGTTTTTGGCTCATTGCATCTGACCTGGAGTTTATTTTTAGTAGTGAAGACAGAGTTCAATTAATGTCAAAACATGAGGGCAAATGCAGAGGAGGGATTCAGAAGTCTAGGGGAAAATGTGCCTAGTTTTGCTTCTTCTGATAACTTCTGTCACACCAGCAGACGCCGAGCTTTCTCGACGGTGCCCGCGATGGGCTTTGCAGAGGCTGGGAGTCCGAGCCACCCCCGGAAAGCGAATGCGTTTCTGGGTCTCTTTCAGTCCAATTTACCCAGCAGCTGGCCGCACAGATGAGTACCCACTGCAGTTATCATGGCGGGTGATAGTTATTACAATCAATATTAAAGGCCAGGCTTTGGAACCTTCAGTTCCTATCTCCCCCGTGGCTTCGGGTTCCTTCTGTCTCCGGAAGAAGCGTCCACCTTGTTTGAACACCAGCTCTTCTCCCTGGATTGGGAATGTTCGGAGAACAGGCTCTGGGTCTTGCTGTCTCTTTCGCCCCAGCTTTTGGCACCGTGACAGGCGTCCAGGACGTGCTTGGGGAACATTTTCTTGGACTGCCTGCACTTTTGGACCCTGAGTTGGGGTTAGAAAGTCAGAAATCATGCACACAATGCTCTTTCGTCAAGGGCTCCCGGGTCTGTTCTGGGATTTTGGGGAAACTGAGCACTGTGTGCTTAGGACTTTAGAGTTTCTAAAAGTTCTTTTTCGTTCTTCCGTCCTGCTTTTATCCCTTGGCTGTTTACGGAGAACCTGCACTGTGCCGCTCTGCAGGGTACCTGCAAGGAAGGAGGGACGCACCACTGTTCTGGCCCCGAAGGCAATCCGGAGACGGAGGCTGGCTTTATGGACTCCCGTTATGGACTATATTTTCGTGTCCCCCCCCCCCCCCCAAAGTCAGATGTAGAAACCCTAATCCCCAGTGTAATGGTGTCAGGAGGTGGGGCCCTTGGGAGGTGGCCGGGTCTTAAGGGTGGAGCTCTCAGGATGGGATTGATGCCCTATAAGAAGAGGCACGGGAGAGTAACGTCTCTCTCTGCTCTCTGAGATGTGCAGACACAGCCAGAAGACAGCCTTCTGCAAACCAGGAACTGAGTGAGCTTTACCTTGATCTTGGACTGCCAGCCCCCGGAACTGTGAGGAATAAATTTCCATTGTTTAAGCCACCCAGTCTGTGATATCTTGTTATAGCAGCCTGAGCAGAATAGGACTCCTGTATTTCACAGACGGATGAGTTGGAGACTCAGAGCAGTTGTGCTGCCGGGAGCTCCCTGCTAGTTGGTGGTGGACCTCACAGATGAGCGTGGCTCTTCTGAATCCAGGCACCTGAACCTGCTCCCCCGCTACCTGCCGCGTGATCCGCAGGCGTGTCTGGACTTTCTCTTGGCTGCCCCTCTCTGCTCCGTCATCTGTTTCTCCCTCCCCTCCCCTCCCCTCTGCTCTTCTCTCTTTTTCTCTGCTGTCTCCCTTTCCCCCTCTCCCAGTTCTTGTTTCTTCTGAAGATGAAGATCTTTCTCTCTGTGGTGCCTTTTGGGGGAAGGTACCTGATGATAATGGCGTTGTGCTTGAGCTCGTCCCGCCTGGGGTGGTGTCTGTCTCACTGAATCCACTTCCCCAGCGCCTACTGTGGGGACTGGCGTGATGTAGCAACTTCCTCCGTCTCTCCCTGCCCGCTTCCACTGTCCCACTGTGAGCCAGGTGTTGCACCCAGCCGTGGGACGCAACAGACTAGGTAAAAAACGCCCTGGGGGAGACACAGTATATCCGAACAACTGTTGTTTGCGCAGCGTCATGGGCTGGATGTTTGGACACCCTCCAAATCCCCAGCTTCATATGCTGAGAGTCCTAACCCTGAGTGTGGCTGTACTGGAATTAAGGGAGTAATTAGGTTAAATGAGGTCATGAGGGTGGAGCCCTGCTCTGATAGGAGAGCTCAGTGGAGACCTCCCTCTCCCTCTGTCTCTGCCACGTGAGGACACGGCGGGAAGGTGGCTGTTCGCAAGCCAGGGAGAGAGCTCTCAAATCTCGAGACCCTCGATCTCGGACTTCTGTGCTCCAGAACTGCGAGAACAAACGTCTGTTGTGTGAGCCACGAAGCCTCTGGTGTTCCGTTATGGCAGCCCGAGCTGACCAAGACGCACGGTGGATGCATGCCTCAGGCCATGGTCTGCAGGGTAGTTTGGTTGCCTTGGTCCCAAAGCCTCTCTGGTGGTGTCGAGCCGCGGCTCATGCCTATGAGGT